GTATACTGGGGCATTAGGACCCACACAGACTGCATGGTTAGTGCCCCCTACTGGCCCCCACTACTACGTCTTCCAGCAGCAACCTTAGCTTTCCCAGGAGATCTCCTATCCAGGTACTGACCAAGTTCGCACTTGCTAAGCTTCAGTAGGTTGCCAGCGGTGAGTTGCAGGGTTGTATAGCTGCTGGCAAATATCATATTCCTAAAAAAGCCTGGTGGAAGTGAAAGTTGTGAAGATGATTGTAGACTGACCTCATGCACTTTGATCTGAACACGCTTTCTTTTCTATGACAGTGGCCATCTATTGCCTTTCATGCCATTTAGCCTGAAGACTCAAAGTACTTAAAGCCAGACTAATACCAGTCTAATGGACAACCTGGCTAAGAAGGTCTGTGCATTTTTAATTAGGTTCATTAAATGCATTTCCAGGCAGTGGTTTCCCCTTCAAGCTTAGTCAGTGGATAACTATATTATATTTTCAGTTACATTTCTATTGTGCGCATAGAAACAAAATGTGCTCAGTGTAAATTAGGAAAGAAAAGGAGAATAAGCCAGCAATTCAGCTATATACAGTACTGTAGTTCTGTTTCTGTGGAAAAGAAAAAATGGTCTATCATTTCAAGACAGGAAGATCAAGGACAGCGGAACCAGAGTGGGGTTTTGTTAGTCAGCAAATAATTTGTGCCATTATTGTGCAAATAATGAATGTCAGCTTCATTTAGTTTCATTCATTTTTTAATCAAGAATTCTGTAACCTTGCTACAATCTTCAGAGAACTAAAAATGCATTTCTTCACATTTAATATCAATTAGTATTTAATTCATAATTTCATCTGTATCTCATGTTCGTAAATATGTCAATTAATTTAATAATGAATACATTTAAATTAAGTACAGTATATTTTTTGAAAGACATAGGGATTTGCTCATGTTGCATTAATATAATATCAAACCAGTCTGTATCTTAAGCCCATTAAAGTGGTCATTTTAATACAATACTAAAGGTGGTCATCAAGTCAAATATTTCCTTAAAATTGGAATCACATTTAATACAATATAATCACATCTTTTAAGTAGGCATTTAAGAAATTAATACATTTCTTAAGTCTTTTTAGAAATGTATATTTATTTTGAAATAAGCAAAACCTCTTAATGGAATAGTTAGCTCAAAGTTCATTTGGATGCATCAGCAAATAGTTTTAAAATAAGGTGGAGCAATTAATGATATAATTACTAAGGAATGTCTAATTAAAAGGAGCATGATGCATGGAGTTGTGGTATCACACAGCTCCTCAAAGGTAGACAGTACCCCCTGGTGGTCATAAAATTATTCCTTTCTGGTTCATTCTGTCCTTTCTGTTCGAGTTTAAGAATAATATTGGACTTTAAAACGTGTGATAATTGCTAATTGTCTTTAACCAAAAAGTGAGAACTGAAGCTGAAAACTTTACTTGATATGAATGTTAAAGCCTCAACTGCTTGTTCATTACTTCCTAACTTAAACAATAAAACATACTGTATTATCCCAATACATACTTCCTTTCTTGTAGCCACTTCAAACCCAGCATTGCAGGCTTTGTCTGTGATTCATGGGGACATTTTTAGCAGTCAGTAGAGTGAGAAGGTGATATCGAACAGGAGGGGGGATTCTGCAGTTTCTGAGGGCAATAAGATTTTTGTGCTGTGCAATGGTCTGTAAGAAAGTGCTCCTGGGACACAGCTGGGTGCAAGTTTTAACGGTCTGTGACACCAGGGAAAATTGCTGCCAGTAGGAAGATTGATGACGAAGGACTGCTACACTGGAAGGGCTTGGAGGTGACGTTTAACTTGTGGAAGCTGGAGTGTAATAGTTTGTAAGCATGTTCAATTAAATTGTCTTCCCTCATAGCTTGAAGGCTTCTGTGCTTGATGTAATGTTCTAGAGAAAAAAAAAAAGTGTTCTCGTTTACCCATATGAATATTTGATATGAGTTCTATTAGGTGCTCACTCTTTAGCAACATGCTGTTAGATAACTCTCTGAAATAACTAATAAATATGTTACTTTTGCCTTCTCATGCCTACAAAACCAAACACACCTTTTCTGTGCAAGGTTAATAGAACCTTGAAAGGAAAAAAGATTATTGTGTGGCATTTTTATAGAGAATTTCCTCCTATTTTTTAAATTGTTTTCTGTGAACAAGAATATTTGACTGAAATATCAGATCATTAAGCTGAGCAATATGAGTTTAGTGTGAAAGCATACAAATGCTGGATATATTGCTTTTCTGCACAGGCACTGTTTACCTTGATAATTAATTATTTATTACAGTATTTCAGAATTTCCTAAAGACTTCTTAAGGTCAGCAATGAGAACATTGTGCTGTATGGTGTGTTTTTACCTGTTTGTGAAGTTCACAAGTACAATATTGCCATTCTCTGGCCCTCAGGGTGGTTAAACATTTTTACAAGTTAAGCTGTAAAACATATATATATAAAAAACATTACTATATTAACCCTTTACAATTTCTTGCATTAGGCATTATCTTTCCACATACAGTACCCCAGCTCGCTCACCATGAGACACACAGACAGGGAGAGAGCCTGGGGTCAGAGCACAGGGTCTGCCATTGTACAGCGCCCCTGGAGCAGTTGGGGTTAAGGGCCTTGCTCAGGAGCCCAATGGAGTAGGATTCCTCTGTTAGCCACAGGATTTGAATTGGCAACCTTCCAGCCACAGTGCCACCACTCCACATAAAGCAATACAATAATTGCAAATAAAAGTGTAAACAGGTATTGCAGATAATACACCAAATTATAATCACCAAGTTTTCAAGAATGAAATAACTGAAAAATGTTCAGTAGTAAACATCAATGACACCTACTACACAAATCAATTGTTGCTAAAAGGGTACAATAAATATTCAAAAAGTTTCTGTATGATTTCAAGTAGTTTTTATTCCAGCCATGTTGTTTAATGCTTGATATAATTATCTGACTGGTGTCAGAGAAAATCCACAAAATTTTCACATGGTTTATTTTGTCATGTTTACAGTATCTCATGTACATGACATACCTCTTTTTGCTAAATCTTTTTATTTTGCCTTTCAAACAAAATATTCAAATAAGAAATAAGACAAACCAGTCAATTACACAAAATCGGGCAGAGCAGTGGCTTTGTGGCTAAGGATCTGTGCCTGTGGTGGAAAGGTTGTTGGTTCAAATCCCACAGCTGGAAGAGGAATCTTACTGTCTTGGGCCCCTGAGTAAGGCCCTTAACCCCAGCTGCTCCAGGGGTACTGTATAATGGCTGACCCTGTGTTCTGAGCCCAAGCTTCTCTCTGAGTCTGTGTCTCATTGAGAGCAAGCTAGTGTATGTGAGAAGACAAATTCCTATTGCAAGAAATTGTATGTGGTTAATAAAGTGATCTTAACACTTTAATATTTATTTCAGCTGACCTGCCACTAGAGGCCAGATTAGGCCACACTAGGTCACACTTCAGGTAAATTAAGCAATTAGTTAATTAGATAAGGGTAAGAATTGCACATTGTCACACAGGAATAATTAAGTCATTTTGCATATAAAGGGCATCAGTGGCAGGTGAAGGGATGGACAGCTTGTTGTTGAGTTTTGGAATAAAATGGCTGTATGAGTATCATGCTGTGGTAATGCCTTCTTTAGGACATTGCTTGGTAAGGTCCTGTGAACCATCTTATTTAGTCTAGCACCTGTCATGGGAAACAACATCAAACTCTACCTGACTACTTTTTTTCCATTGACTATTGAAACTAAATTGTCTCCCCTGTACAGTATTTATTCTCAACATTGGTCAGTGTTCCTGTTAATTCAGTTTAATACCATTTTAGTCCATTTAAATAGCATCAGGAATACTGATTTAATTGTGTGTCTTACCAATCACATTTTGGTTGTGGGTACCTTAATTTGTGCTGGACCTCTGACATGAGAGTTATCTGCCCAATGTTCTTCTTAAGGTGGAAATCAAAATGATCTCAGAGCTCCAGAGTACCCAGTCACTTGCTGGTAGACAGTGTGGTACAGTAATGAACTTGATGCAGGTTATGTGCTTTCTGTTCTTTCAGGTCAGATGGGTGTCATAACAGAAAGATGGTACTGGAAGTGGGCATGACAAACTAAAATCATAAAGACGCGCAATAGTTGGTCAAAAATGGCTCCTGTGAAAGTCTAGACGAGGATTTTTGTTTTTTAATGAATGGCGTTCTACCTTTGAAATTAAGAGTCACCACTTATTTTTCATTTCACCCACTCAGCCTTCGATTATGGCTACATAGCCACAGCAACCTCAGGCTCAAGAAAACAAGAATTTATGCTCCTGAAGCCCCCTGTGTTTGAGCTGCTTGTCTTTAACACTTCAGGGGGAACAGAACTCTGAACAGAAGGTTCAGTGCTGATCGGAGGGGAGGCACGTTTCTCACAAACAGCCCCACCCAAAAGGCACTGGGAGTCCGAGCGCTGAAAGAGCTGGTTGACAATTCCTACCCTGCACTCAGCAGTGGTAGTGACATGACCAGTTTTGAATCTGTGACCACTAAGACCAAAAAGCTTAACCTCTACACAGTGGAGCTCGTTCACTACTTGCACCAATAAAGAGGCCCCAGTAAAGCCATTCTTTTAAATAACACCCCCACTCACAGAATTTAATTCACACATTAAACACTATGGAGGAAAATCTAATAAAATCACACTTCATTTGCAACAGGATTGGTAATATGGTTTGCCCAAAGCTTTAGGTAAATAAAACTGCTCATCGTGGTTTCCAGCCATATCCACACTGTCAGTGATTGTAATTAATCTGAAAGTATTGAAAAAAAAACTTTTATGAATACTTTTAGTGCATCTTGTGTCTTCCAATCGAACACGATGTGATCAAATCACCCCCAGGAAACAAGGGAGCGTGGAAGCTTATGGGCTTTGAGTGGATGTGTGCAATTGTTTTTGTCATTTGACTTGTCAGGTGTTTCAGATCTTTGCATCACATTTTGCAGGCTGGAGTTTCAGCATGGGCTCGGCATACCAGTTTCACAGCTGGAGGGTATTCGTGGTGGTGTGCGCCCTGCCCTGTGTTTCTGCAGTAGTGGCTCTCACCTTCATGCCCGAAAGTCCCAGATTCTTTCTGGAGGTAAGGAGACATTACGCTTGAAGAATAAGAACAAGCAGAAAACAATAGAACTTTGTGTTCCTAAATCCAGGGTTTTTTAGATGAGATACCCTTTCACTGGTGCTTTGAAGCTGATGCCAGAGATATGCACGTAAGTACATGTACTGTAAGATAAGATTATTTTACTCATTTCAGAAGAACACATCTCCACACTGATGAAATGGTCCAGAAATACAAGAAGGCACAACAAAGCCTATTAATTAGTCTTTTGTTGCCATATTTTCTGAAGCAAAATAATTCCCACTGCGAGAGAAGATGAAAGCAGTAGACAAAATGGTTTAGATATGTGGAGGACTCAAGAGTAGTTAAGTAACATACAATTTAACCAGCTTACAAACTTTTGTATCTTGGAAAAAAAAGCTTTTTTAAGTGCACTATTAAAGAAAAGAAAAGTAAAATCTAAATTATAGGCTTTAGATAATGTGAAGTGAAAGGCTGTCTAGCATCTGAAGAGACAATACTGCATTTAAATGATGAAATTCTAAAGTAGTATAATGCATTCATATGCAGTAAACTTTAATTTTCAGTTTTGTGTCATACATTTATAATTTATCTAGGTTTATTTAGATTTTTAAGCAAGCACCCTAAGGGTGTGCTATTTTCTTTCATTTTCATACATTTAATTTTTTTTTCTTTTGGCTCCAAGATACTCCACTAGGTATTATTCAGCTGAAGTCCTTGGGTGATTTACTCATGTCAAACAAAGTAATCTCTTCAGTGGTCCAGTTAACAGAGGCCTCCCCAGTATTGGTACTGAATTCATAATGACTTAACTGAATTGTTTACCTAGTTAAAACATTTTCAAATACTTTGCAATTAAACTAAATCTAAAAAAATGATGGTCAGTACTGGAAATCACTTTAATAGTCACAAAAACAGAAAAATAGCAAGTAGCAAGAAAAAAATAAAGTATAAGTAAAACTTAAGAATCAATTCTGAAGCAAGTTCTTAAAGACACTAGCACCTCAAAGACAATGCTTGTAAACCTTGATATACTGTACAGTATCTCAGTCTCATTATTCAATACTTACTTCTAAATTATATTAATTGATGTGACCTTTAAATCACAATCCAGTATTCTAATTGGGGAGATTAGCTATACATATGCAGCCTTTGTTCTGGCCTGTACAGTGGACAATCATACTGTATGTGGTTTAGACTCATTGAGAGCAATCTGTCTTGTCAATAAGGTTTTCTGTGATGTCATTGTCATTTCTGTGGTATTACTGGTGCAAAATAAGGAAGTTAAAAAGTCACTGAGGTAATGATGTAAAATATGCATGAGAGTTATATAGCAGCTGAAGATTTTTCAGCAGTAAATACAAGTTTACAAAGTCAGACATATTGTAGATGTAAATAGGAGCAGCTTTAATCTTATATGGCTCTGTGTTGCTGTAGGCCTGTATTTTTGTTAGCTTGGCTGAGGTAACACAAAATCAAAACAAAAAGCTGAATGCTTTTTTCACTTTATGCGGTTTACTTTTGTGTTGTACATGAGTGGTCCTTTTATTTATTACAATTAACCTAGATATATAGTGATTTTATTATATAATTTTTTATACAGTGAACAACATTTTCAAAATTGTCAGCCTTGCACATACTGTACTTACTGTTTTAGCCCATTTTTGCATTCCATCATGCAAGCAACAAAAATGTACAAAGCAAAGGTCTATAACCAATTTTTACTGTACAGTAAATAGGCATTGTAAAGAGTATAATAAACCTTTTCATTTTATTTTATTTTCTATCAAGGGAACCATTAAACTAAGTTCAAAGCAAATCTAGATGACAACGGACGATTCACCCATTTATTTACAGTACAGATACAGTAGTTGTTTATACCTGACAAGGGTCATGGTAACTTGGAGCCTGTCCAAGATGACTTGGTGCAGAACTGGGCAAAAAACATCCTGCCACCCTATCACATAGCAATGAAAAAATCAGATAGGAAATATCTTTCACTGTTTGACTGTGTCTCTAGCGATTGCCTATGTGTTCATGATCTTCACAGTCATTGTTAATCCGTATAATTGTTGCTTTTCACTAAACAGGTTGGGAAACACGATGAGGCTTGGATGATCCTGAAACAGATTCACGACACCAACATGAGAGCACGTGGGCAGCCTGAGAAGGTTTTCACTGTGAGTACTTCTCAGAGCAGAATTTAAGGTGTTTTTCTCATTATACATCCTAATCCACACTGGGAGTCAGGTTCTAAATCAGGTTTCTGTCTGCAGCTAATTTCGACAGGGATTGTCTGCTGTCATGCGTGGGTTTGAATTAAATGTTAATATTCATAATATATTTTTAGAAAAGCTAATATTAATATTTTTCTCCCCGACTGCATGCAGATAAATTAAGGGAAATTTAATTAATACAGAGTTTCATGTGAGGTGGGCAGATCTAAAGATCTAAAGATTTCATTTAACATTTAAAGAGCATCTTTACTAACATCAGTGACGGAACCCTGGGTGAAACAAGAAAAGTGACATGAAAACCTTTTCTGGGAGGATTGCAGTTCCTCTTGGTTCAGCAGGAATGAGAATGACTACAACATGCAGGATGCTAAAAGGCTGATTACCAAGGTGGCCTTTTAATTTTCCTAAATTAACAGCCGTTACCTTTTTAGTGTGCCTCACATTTTAAATGAGGATATGGCAGTTCAGAGACAGCTCCATTGTCTATGGGCCTCAGGGATAGACAAGGCCTTTTTGAAAAACAGTTTCTTTGGGGAGGCAAGGCCGGCTTTTAGAATGTGTAACAGGGAAGATGATTTTGAGCAAACCAGTGAATGTCTGAGAGGTTAACATTGATTGTTAAGTGTATAACTTTGTAGGTTAAAGTAACTTGTAAATAAAACCTATGGAGCTTTTTTTGAAGCGTCATGTACTGTATGGATACTGTAGATCTTTTTTATGCAAGACAACAAGCTTAAAAAAGGTTGATCAAAAGCCTAAACGAGTTGTGGTGACCATCAACATCAGCATTTCATATTAATCATATTTCCCTGTTTGATTACGGGATAGGTATCGGGTACCTTTTTCCAACCTTGATCACATTTTATCATCTGACCTTATTGTATGGGAAGTAAAATATAGTCTACAGTTGCAATGCACCACTTTCCTTGTTACATGAGTATCTCTATGGCTTTTCCACACTTTCCTTTTCAGTTATCCTTAATTTTCTAATAAAACTCCTGAAAAAACAAATGTTACAATCAACAAACTAACGATTTTGGGTTAGAAATCTGATACCATTAACTTTGCCCTTATCATTGCCTTATACCAATTTAGTCAAGAATAAAGAGCAAGATAAAAAAAAACAAAATTGTGCTTTAGTTTCAAAAGAAGTCATTACACTCACAATAATACAGTCATATGTGGCTGGAAAAAGAATACGATATATTTTGCTACTTTGTTTACCATAATTTGTCCTGCACAGGAGTAGACCCAGTAATGATGAACTGCCGGTTGTTTTATTAATTGTAGTGTTAGAAAGTCAAACTGAGACTGTGCATATCCACAGGTGAACAGGATCAAGACTCCCAAACAGATTGATGAGCTGATTGAGATCCAGTCAGGCACAGGAAATTGGTTTTTGAGGTGTGTGGTCAGGATCCGCACCGAATTCTATGGGGTGAGTCTAAAAGCACATAAATTTCAACCAGTTTCTATCCATTATCATTTTAATAGAGAACCTAACCATTATGAGAGGCATCTAAAATGGCTTTTGGCCCACATGTATTTCACTAAGTACTATAGTACTACTTTGAGTGCTTTACATACGGATGATAGGATACTCCAAAAAAGTACAACTCTTATTTTATATGATAAATATAATATTTTTGTGCATCACATTACCAGTTGGCACCAAAACAAGACTGCAGTTTTCATCTGATATAAACTGGAGCTTGAGAACATACAATACTGGACATTTAAATCATTTTCTTTGTTAAATGTTCCTTATGGATACAGAAGCCTATTTCTGATTCTGCTTACATAGACTAAGGAAGAATGGGCGTATTCATAAAATGTCTGTTCACTACAAGTTTTAGGAGTCAGAAATTCCTAATTTTACAAAATCAAAGAGATTTGTGTCACTTCCTATTAACTGAAATGGAGGAGGCATGTTGTAGGCATACTGTAAGATGATTTACTGATCTGTCATGTTTTTAAAATAAGTATAAAATGGTAAATAATTGGATAGTCTTAATCAAAAGCTCTTTTTGTGTCAGGATATTTCAATTCTTTTCCCAAAAACATATGAAAAGGCCTGCCTTTGTAATACATTTCACTTTGCAGCTGAAGGTTTCAAAGTGGAAAATCCAATATTATCTTTAAATTGTCAGAATTGTCAGTTCGCAGAGCCAATCTAGCAGCGCCAACACTGTTTTGACTTGTTTTGAATGTTTTTTGAGATTTGCTTGTCATTATTTCTTTATTAATTTGGATATTCTTCTAACTTTACTACATATTTCTTCCTTGACAGATATGGTTAACCTTTATGAGGTGTTTCAACTACCCTGTGAAAGACAACACCGTTAAGCTGGCCATTGTCTGGTTCACACTTTCTTTTGGGTAAGATAAGCTGTTACTTTTGATAGTAGTTTTGGTTACTTTTGTAGAATTTGTTCCATCATCAAACAAAAAGCAGAACTAAATGATGCAAAGACCAATCACTTTAATGCAGTGCCAAATTCTATTCCACAACCATATATTATTAATATATCATAAAGGAAGTTGATTAAATGTTCTTGCTGAAGGAACCTGTTAACTGTATGTAAGATATATTTGTCACCTGTTCTCTTAGGAAAATAATAAAGGTTTAAAAAGCTCTCCTCTTTCTAAAATAGTAGTTCACGTAGCAATTAATTTCAAATTATAGCATAGACATGTAACTTTTAGTGCATGATATTTTCTTGGTGCTCTACAGTATATGCACCACCATGCTCAGTTACATTTACCCCTAAGGCTTTTCAGATTTCTATCATACTTTTTATAGTAGATTGTGCTTTACAGACACAGCTTATTATGCAGATATGAATAGTATAATGTGGTTTTTAAACATATTGAAATCACTTCTGAAAAATAAATGAAGGCGCTGTGCCCTAAAGACCTATATAATCCAGTAGTTAATTGTAATTGAGGTGCACTTTTACTTCAAATGAAGCTTGGTCCTAGAAATATTAACACAATTATTTTTTCAGCAATAACTTTAAAATGACAGAGAAGCCAGCCAAGAACACGCATATGCATATTCCATTTGATATTTCATTTCTTGTGAAATGTGAAGTTGGTTCCCCTTTGAATTTACATGTTAAACCTCTCATTTCCCTGGTAATTCCTGCTTTACCCTGAATGCCATGCAGGGAGAAGGTAATAATGCAATTAGCTACACATATGACCCACTTTCATTCTGGTGCAGTTTGTCGTCAAAGTCCAAAAACACAGTTTTTCATCAGGTGTCATCAGGTTTGGCAAAAATGGTTGAATAAGTCTCTCATTTGCTGATGGAATAAGCTTGTTTTTGTCATACTCTGTGGTAGTGTTGGTACCCGTACTGGTGTTCATTTGTGTTCAATAATTTGAATTAAGTGTTTGAGTAATTTATCAATTGAAAACAGCACTTTAGCAAAATATATAAGGATTCTGCCCAGTCTTTGAAGTTCAGCTCGTAGTGCTGAATTCTAGTGGTCAGTTCTAAATACCCTTTCAGACTGGAAGGATTCCAGGTTTCTGTGTGACTATTAAACTAACAACCTCTGCCTAGAGATCACCATGCTTTCTAACATAATTTAATCATTTAAATTCCTAGTAATGACAGAGTCTAGTGATATAATCAACAACTTGCTTGTGTGCTGTTTGTTTCTTTTAAAGATAAGCAGTGAGTAGAAAGATTTTGGGTCATCTGAGGAACATTTAATACAATAGTTGAGTTTGTCAAAGACGACTGTAGCAGTCAAGACCTGTATCATTTGAGATACAGATATATCTATAACTCTGTAAAGGCTTCAGGAGCCGAGTACAAGGTCAGTGTGTTTGGGGTACACTGATTTACAAAATCACTTGTGCCAGTACAGTACATAAGAAAGCTTCCCAGTTCCTGTAAGTAGTTTTCTGAACAGTTTGTATGAGGAGCAAAAACAGCTTGGATCAGTGCCTAACAATATTGCTCTCCTGGCTCACCAGACAATTTTGTTAAATTAATATTGCTTGTATAATTCTAAAGGCCATCTTCCAAGGTGACTGTGATAATTACTGCTCTGCAATGTCATGGTGCTCTATAAAAAAAGCAATAGCAATACATTTTATATACTGTATACTATTTTAAAAACCTTACTTTCAGAGATACATTTCCATCTTACTGTATGTTCATTTTACAGTGTGTGCATCAAAGTTTACATTTTATATTCTCTTTCACAGATTTGGTGTGATTTATTTGTAATACAGAATTGCAAAAAAAATACTCCTATATCATTGAAAGTCTGCAGTTATGTAGTTTGGGATCCTGAGTCCTGAAAACCTGTTTCTGTGTTCATTCTATCTGTTTACTAATATAAGTAAAGCTTCAGTTGCAGACAGGTCCAGGCTGGTTGGATTCATAGTCTTTATTCACACTTTGGAAGAGTCCCATGGCTTACTGCAGAGCAGTTCAAACAATATGTAATGATAAATCACTGACCTTTACAAACTGTTCCAATGTGACCTACAATTTATAAATTCCCTGAAATTAATAAACTGTAGCTGCTGCCCCAGTGACAATCCCTTTGGGAGATGAAAAACAGGCAATTAAATTTGTAGCAGATGCCTATTGTGTGTGTTGAATGTTCTTCTCTGAATCTGGTTTTGAACGTGACCATCTGCATAGTCATTTTAAGCATGGTGTCTGTGATTCGCTCTTAAGCATTAAGATCATAAGAAATATTTTTTACTATGATAACTATGGTGTAATGTGCTAAAATTATGTTTTATACCAGAAGGACATTCAACAATAAACCAGTCATTCTCTTCTTCAACTTATGTATAGTATGTAAAACTATTGTTGCAGGACACTGGATACTTTAAGGATACTTAAAACAGGAAATAACTGAGAAAGAGTTGTGTTCAGTCCATCAGTCAGAAGTAAACACCAATGCAGTATTACCAAAAAAACACAAGACACTGACAAGCCAAATGGTGAGAACCAAGTTGAGGTTCATTTCACACAGAAAAATAGAAAGAATAAAATACACTATATTACATAAGTTGAGCCTTCTTCAGGTGTGAGGGAGAATGAGAGAGAGAGAGAGAGAGAGACAGAGAGCAGGGATATGAGGCCAAGAATTTGGGAAGAAGGACAAAACAAAGAAAATGTAAGAAAGGGTACAGTAGGTGGGAGTGTCCAAAGGAAAACCTGGGATACTCCAAGAGAGTTGTGAAAAGCCAACATTTGTAAATTAATGGAGAAATTAATTGATCAATGAGAACTGGAGGTACAGTAGGTGTGAAACTAGTTTAAGGGTAATTGTGGCTTACATTGTCTTTTTGAAGTATTGTACTGTCCTGGGATCCTTGTGAAGAGACACAGAAGTGTCTGTGTAATCATGGCTGGGCAAGAGAGAATGAGGAACTTGTAGAAAGCTTTATTACTCACTGACATGTTGTCTGGAATGATCTGCCACTCTTTTGTTTAACAATATAAATGGCAGGGTACTCGGTAAATTAGATTGTTTAAAAAACAGTGCTAAAAATTCCCACAGGAGTCTTGTATTTGTGTGATGCTGGTTATACTGAACAGTATGATGCAGTAATACTTTGTCTGAGTTCTCAGAATTATTTTTTTTGCATCCAAGCAGCTATGTTTTACACACAGAAAGACTTACAAAAACACAAACAGTACAAATAAACATTACATTAAAAATAAATATAACATACATTACACAAAATACAGTACATCAACACATACAGTAAATAGTCATTATCCACCACTCGTACAGACATCCACATACTGTAGATTTTTAGAACCTGTAATTTTACTGTTGTGACAAAGGCTCCTTACAAAGATTAAAAGTTTAAAGCTGTCCTGTTAGTCCTACCAAATTACAACTTCTACTCTGTAGAGATCTTTTCACCTGCAGACAGAGTGTACACTCACAACTGAAGCATGATCATCTGCAACACATCCTGTTTCTTGTGGATCTTGTTGCTACAGTATGATGAAATCCTTAGTTACCTTAGCTGTCCTTAGTTATCAGGTTGCATTCACCTGAGAATCAAAAGCACACGTTGTGAAAATATTTTGTTTCACAATAGCTCATTTAGCTGTTTAATATATATTAAACATTAATATACAGTACAGTATATAAAAAAAACTTACTGAATTTACACTTACTGTTAATGACAAACCTACTGTATGAGAAGTGAGTGTTATTTTTAGCTGTATTCTTAGCATAGGGCCCTGGAGATACATTTATAGTAAAAAAACAAGATGTTGTTGTATTCATAGTACCCGGTATAATTGGAAATGCAAGTAATGCTTTTGATTATCATCTGCAAATGTTGACATTTAGATAAATAAAAAACCCATCAAATAAAAAACCCATTTTGAGCATTTTATACAAATCAAATAAATGAATTAACATAGAATGACTAAATTCATTTTATTTTTTGTTACTCAAGCATCAGCCTGTGCACATGATAATGAAACTGGAGCATAGGACAAAAACCCTCATACATACAGGCACTCAGATTGCACATTCCAAGAAGGTGTTTAGCTTTTTAGATATGTGGGTGTTAATTAATGTTGATACATCAATTTAAAGTTTAATTAATAGAAATAAGTAAATTAATCAATTAATCAACAAAATAATCAATAATAGAAATAAGTTTTGGTGAAAAGGTTTGAAATAATGCATTATTATAGTAAGTACTCTATCACATATCTATAAGATATTCACAAAATTGTTACATTACATTATTCACAGTCCAGATATGGTTATACAAGAATACATCTATACAAGTTTAGAAAATAAAGTAAGCACCTAAGCAAGGATATATAATCTATTGAGACAACTTTCTCTTAAGGAAGTAGTTGGTATTTTGTAATAACTATGTTCCTTTCTCAGTAAGCAGTTTTACCCAAGTAATTGACTTCACTGAGTGTGTTAAATTCCCTGCTTTAAAATATTCCTGGGTACACCACATGTACAGTATACAAGACAGGGATATTTAAAGGTTATATAGTATATTTATAAAGCCACTATGTGCAAGCAGACAACTCAAATCATTGCACATAATAGTCTGTCACATGAAGAGAATTTCATGTTAATTTTGCATAAGATTAAATAAAATTGTGCTTAAAAAAATGCTTTTGATCATTCACAAATTCAGCAAGTATAAATTATTTTTTTCTGAAATGATCATTACTGCAGAGGTACTGGTATAGTAGCTATAGTGGTAGAAACACAGTTAGAAACTCCTCTTGCTCTTCTTTAAAGCAATGTCATTTTTCTGTTCCTCTGTGCCTAAGAGGTGGTGTGATCTGTGGTTTTGGCCTAAACCACTCTGCAGGAGTGATTTATGAAGCCATCAAGAAAATGACTGGCCAAGCCTGTGCAGTAATAACACAGGCAAGATTGCACTGCTGCACGGCCAGCAACTGTGTCACGTTGTGTCACTTTGAACTTGCTCTACTGTATGTGTGGCCCAAAGACTCTGGCAGTTAATCTGCACAAATTAAATTCCTGATGTCACGTAAACTACACACCTGCACTCATAACCTTCTTTTGTGTTCATTACAGTGTGGGGATATTGCAATGATTGTCTTTATACTTGCAGTATTGCAACTCCCTAGTCCTGCCCTTGGAAATATTATAAGAAGCCTTTTTCCTTCTTGCCGAAATAATTTGTTGAATAGCACAAAGCTGATCTCAGGAACAGTGGCAATGTAGAACTTATGAACACAGGGCAAAGGAAATAATACATTGAATCAAGTATGACCTCCATACTATGGCAAGGTGAAACTGAAGTAGTTTGGCAGCATAATTGTTTGTTCTATTATATTCCAGGAATGTCTGGGAGAAATTGTTTGGTTTTCATATCATGAATGGAAAAGGATGTGATCATGTCACCACGCCTCCTTTTGTTACTGGAAATTCAAGCATTAATCATAGTTCCATAAATGAACTTGTTATACAGTGCAAAATGTCTACTACAAATGTACAATAACACCTGGACAGTAATTTGAAAATGTGTTCGTGTTCTGTATTAGTACTTATAACACCATATTCTCCATCTGAATTATTTTTCATTTTTTAAATAATTGGTTACATATGTATTTTTAATATAGAGTTGTGTTTATATATTCATTGTTGTTTTTTACATAAAAATATTAAGCTGTTCAAGCCCACAGCAAGAAAACAAATCCTAGAAACTAATATTTGCTAGAAAATTGTCTGATATCAGTGCCAGTCTGAACATCTAATTTCCTATTGCCTCTGTTGTTGTTATTCTGTTTGTCTGGGAACAGATACTATGGCCTGTCTGTTTGGTTTCCTGATGTCATCAAACATCTCCAGTCTGATGAGTACGCCTTGAAGGTTAGAACCTTTAACACAGAGAGGGTTGAGAATTCGACTTTCAACTTTACTTTGGAGAACCAGATCCACACTAATGGGGAATTCATCAATGACAGGTAGGGAATGGCTTTGTGGCCTGTAATTTATACTGTCTACCTTATCGGCTCCTAGGCCAGGAAATTAGATACTGTTATCTCTACATGCTCCTCTTCTGCAGCTCCTAGCTTTGTATTACATTTTTTTGAAGACTGAAAACAATCTTGCAGTCCAAATATCACGCTACAGAGTATCTTTCCTGAATATTAAAATGAATTCTTGTCCATCTACTTTTCAGCATGGGAGTAGATTGAGTAATGTGACATATTACAGCCATAAACATTAGGGAAGACATTCAATTTTTTTACAAAGTTATATATTATTTTAAGGTTCCAATGGAAGTCCAGCACAATGCACTATTTACCCTGTTAATTTTGTTGAACAAAGGATCCTGAAAAGGATGCATAACCAGTTGGCTTAACTTTCATTTAAGAATTCAATTAAGAAATGCTCTGTATTCTTCTAAAAGAATCAAACTATAAAGTCTGAAACTGTAACTTCAAACTATATTGTGTATTTTTACACGATACAGTGTTGCCCACATCGTAGCATTTTAAGAACTAGAAAGCAAAAAGCAGCAGAATTCTTTGTACATGGTATTTTGAATCACACCTTTAGGATCTACGCGTACTGTATATAGGTTAATGATATCTGCATTGATTTCCGAGCAGTACAGAGAAAATTCTCACTGCCAGTTAAGATGTGAATCCTTAATGCTGGAAGCACTGACTGAATGGATAATTTTCTTTCAAGTATGTTTTTAATCAGCAAAATGAAATTAATGTTCTGCATTGTATCTTGTTCATTAGCTTTTCTTAGTATTGCATTTGTTGTTAACATCCTAACATCCTATGACATCACTAACTGTTGCTGTTGCTGTTGCTGAAAACCTGGTCAACACTTTCGTCTTTTCCCAAATTGACTGCTGTAATGCCCTACTCTCCGAAGTATCTAAATTAACATAGAATAAACTACAGTATGACCAGAATTTGGGAGCCTGAATCCTGACCAGGACTAGTACAGGTGATCACATTGCTGCTATCCTGGAATCCTTGCACTGGCTTCCTTTCCGTTCAGGTTTCATGTTGACTTCAAAATCCTCATGTTCACCTACAGTATAAGGGTCTTTATAGCTTAGACCTTGTCTGAGTTACTTTCATCCTGTTCCCCACCTCGCAGCCTTCATTCGTCAAATTCTGGTCTTCTATCTGTTTCCCAAGCCCGTCTACACTCTAGACAGAAGACAGGGCCTTCTTCTGCTATATCTCAAAGCTCTGGAATTCTGTCCCTAATGATATCAGAGAGTCACCTTCCCTAAGCTGTTTCAAATCAAGACTCAATACCTTTTTTAGAAGGGGTTTTACTTAACTGGTTCTGTGTGTCCTTTTGCTCCTACTTTAGTCCATACCTCTTTCTACTACCTCCTCCCATTTGTACAGTATGTTCATTGCATATATTTTTCTTTTATTTTGTTGTTGTGTTGTAAAGCTTTAAATATTTGTACTGTGGCTTTGAGAAGCCACTTTTACAGGTGCTACATAAAAATAAAGTTTATTATTTATTATTACCCAGTCAATCACAAATGCCAGTTGGTTTGTGCTTAACACACATGTGCGTAAACACTGTGGATGATATTATATGAGTATAGACCTGTGCGCAAATTACACATCCTCTACTGAAATAAGTCCTCTCTTCTCTTTAACAGGTTTAATAGTATGAAATTCAAATCAGTTACTTTCATCAACTGCACCTTTCAAAACTGCTACTTTGATAATGTTACTTCCCTGGGCACTTACTTCAGGAGCTGTGTTTTTATTGAAAACTTCTTCGTCAACACTGGTAAGCCATTCCAAGTATTGGATTGGTACTGTTCTTCCTTCACCATGCCAGGACACCAACCTCTTTCTTAGAGGTGCAGCGTTTCGTAGGTGCAAAGTTTACTGGTGAGAAAGGCAATTGATTCAGAAAATGCTGTTTAAAAAGGACATTGTCAGGTGAGGGATCAGAAAAATGATAAAGGTTTGTTCTTTAAACCAAATCTTGTTAAAAGATTTTTTGTTAATTTATGATACAAGACTATATTGTACTTTTCAAATGTTAGTTAGTAACTCAATTAATAAACAGAAAGAGGTAAAAAACTGGGGACACTGGTCACCACATCTGGGCTCTTTTTGGCTTGTTCTCTAGTTTATGGAAGAGTCTGTGTCTCTGCTAGTACAAACTATGAAGGTTTGACATTTTCATGACCACTTAAGATTTTCTAAAATTTCCGACAATACACCATAGCAAATAGCATTTGTGAAAACATTAACTGAATCCTAAATAACCTGCATTTGACTTCTCCACCCCACCATATAAATTAATCGCAGGAAAAGAAACTTTAACTTCTTTTCAGTTATTATCATCAAATATTATCATCAAAAATGCTTGCTCTTGTTAGTCAGTTTGGTATAAAATAACAAGTTTTATTTTTGCCACACCCTTATATACAGAGAGCACAGCCCTTCATTGACAACACCTGTGCTCAGTTAACTAAAAAAATCTTACACTTGCTCTTACTTATCTAGTGGCCCATGTAGTGCCTGCCCTTTCCTATGAGATCCTTTTGCTATAAACATAAAATAGGAAAAATTACAAGGGGTAAAGAAGACTATACTAGATTTATGGTCCATAATAGATAACCCCTACAAATGATCACATTCTGTCATAGGAGGATTTAATGTGTTGTTTTTATCTTCAGTGTACAGAGCTGATTGTGAAGTTTCAGGGGGAAAGCACTAGAATCAGCTTTATCTCTAATACTGGAGATGTTATTGTACATACGCAAGTCTACAGGCATTGGTACAATTTGTGATAACTTAATATACTGAAGAAAGAAAGACAATAAAAATATTAAGCAGGTGTGAAGACAAATGAAAAAGAAATGCAATCATACAGTACATACTGCATAAGCCTGAATATACAGTACCATGAAAATAACATGTACGCAAGTAGGCATTGCCCCAATCATAAACTTATATTAAATCAGTGACTTAAGTAACCATGCACTCCTAAGCTTAACAGTTTGAGGAAAACAGCTGATTAACTAAAAGTTTTTTTTAGACGTTTGGAAATACATTTGTATCAACATAGAAAAAGGGAAAATGCTTTCACGTAAATGCATTTGCTTACCATTATGCTTACCGAAGAACTGCAATCACACCAAGTGACACATGACAAATAGTTTCAATGCACCAGAGGGGTTTAAAGAAAATATAGATTGGATTCTGGAAGCCTGCATGCTGACAAACAACAAACTGCAATCCACACATCTCAAAGTGAAGTCATCTGGGAAAGTGCAGAATCGAAGGGCACTGTAGATTTTGGCTGACTCAGACTCCAGCCCGAGTTAAAAACAAAGTAACACAACATGAGCATAAAGCAAAGTGCAAGTGTGTCAGAATGGAAGTGTTTCAAAGGAACAACCTTTGCCTGAAGGCTTACTTTTCAGAGACGCTGTACAAGGAATTTACTAGATTATGCAAAACACATACTGCTTAGTTCAGTGAATCTCTGCAAGCTGAGTTTTTAATAGTTATTTTACTTTATGGAAATTGTATTGTGTTACTTTTCACATCAGCTTTTGCTTTGGTCTAACCTAGAGCACAGTGTTCCAAAGTCACATTTACAGTAGGTGTTGGTGACATGAATTTGAAGGTACTTAAGGAGATGTTCAAAGAATTATGCCATCCATCTGTAAGAGTGAAAAGAGGAAAGGTGTTCTTGCAGAGCAAAGGAATACTATTGCATGACAGCTGAGTGTGTGCTTTGCAGCAGGGGGAGATGGGAGTAAATGGCTTTTTAGAGGTATTCCATACTTAATGCAGCTGATATAAGGAAGATAAAACAGGGAAACCAAGAACATATAATGCAAGTGAAAGTGAAACTCAAGGGAGAAAAGGCACTTTCCACTGGCATCAGAATACGAATAAAATGTCATACAGCATAATTGTATCACATTATTGTCTTAATATTGTTTTGGAAAACAATTTGCAGTTAATCTGAAGATTGAAAAAGTAGAGCATATTTAGAACTGAAGCTAAAGGTTTTACCAGTGGACACATGCGCATGCACTTAATATGAAGCGGAATTGTTTGTGTCTCCTCTAATCAGACGTCTTATTTCTCATCAGACATTGATGACTCCAAGTTTATCAACACTGAGACAATAAACAACACATTTCATCAAAACAAGACTGGCTGTCAGATGACGTTCGATGACGACTACAGTGCCTACTGGGTATATTTTGTCAACTTTTTGGGGACATTGGCTGTGTTGCCAGGGAACATAGTATCTGCGCTGCTCATGGATAAAATTGGACGCTTGACAATGCTAGGTAAGGGAGGAGGCTATTTTGGAACTAATAAGGCTTCCAAATATTAAGTGCTCAGTTCAGTTCTTTCTTTGTATGTCTTGGAAGTAAACACAAACACATTTTAGCTAAACATAAACATCTCCTGTAACTAAAAACAACCTTTTTACTAATTGTAAAACTAAACTACTACAGAAAAAAACAACTTGGTTTAATGTAGAATCCTTATCAACATGAATGCAAAGACATGGTTAGACAACCTCGGCACAGTGTTTCTTAAGTATTATTTTTCATACAAATCACAAGCATGAAAATACAGGGGATAAAGGAAACTTATTACTCTTATTTGTGGTGCAACATTAAACAAATTACTGGTAGCTGTGCTTGCAGTCAAGTTGGTCAGTCAGGGTCTTATTCTAATTGCTTTGATTAATAAATGTCTAGATGAGGGCACTTGTCTCTAATGATTTCCTTAATGAAGGTAAAGTGAAATCATGGGAAAATAACTGGTCGCAGTCTTGTGGGAAGCATAGAGATTGTTTGCAGAGCTCTGCAATATAATTTTTCTAGGCCTAGAAATTATACAATAGGTAAAAGAGAGCTGTGCAACCTCTCTCCCATGTAAAAGAATATGACATTTGAACAGAACATCTATAAATGCAAGTGTTTCCTTTCTCCAAAAAGTCTGTAAAGGCTATGTCTGTCTCTGTTATGTTGTGCAGGTGGGTCCATGGTTCTGTCAGGAATAAGCTGCTTCTTTTTGTGGTTTGGAACCAGTGAATCAATGATGATAGGAATGCTGTGCCTTTACAATGGCCTTACTATTTCTGCTTGGAATTCTCTTGATGTCATCACTGTGGAACTCTATCCAACAGACAGGAGGTAAGGGTAACAGATATACAGTAGAGATGACTGCAAGTGTAAAGTGTACCATTATTACAGATCACTGCCTATTTTGTTTTTCTTATTTATTTTGTCTGAGTAAAAGTGATTAATGGGAATATTAAAGACTGAATTAAAGTATAAAATTAAACATTCATTTAACAATATCAATATTTTAATCAATTCAGAAATTGAAGTTCAAGGGAGCTCCCACTTAAGGAATATGTCTAAGTGTTAAGTTTCTACTTTAAAAGTGTTACTGTACTGTATAGTTAACCACAGAGTCACTAGTCAAGCTTATATATAATGTTCAAATCAATCATTTACAGATCCAATAATCTTGTTTTCATAGTACCTTTAACTAGATAGGTATTTTAAAAACCTTGAGCTTAGGCATTTCTGATTTGGTTAGGGAGCTGTTGAACCTCTTCACAGAACTCACAGACACCTGTGTCTATACAGGGTTTCAGCAAAGCTACAACACCCTCAAGTTAATGATTTTACTCACTAGTATTTGTGACCTGTAACATAATATTGTATTCTGACCCAAATATCCACAATTTATTTATATAGTGCTTTGCAGTAAAAAAGGGGTATATATACATACAATTAATTAAGTCAATTATCCATAACTGAGATGGTGATTCACTTATTGTAGCGTAATTCCTCCTCTTTTACTAACCTTGAGCATTCTTAGTTGATACTGTATCTACTCACATTGTACTCGATCTGATCTTCTTTATTTATCCAGGTTTCTGTAATACCAATAATGTCATAATCCATTCCCGTAATGGCATACATAATCACCTCTAGCAATTGAGTTGATTATGTTTATTTACTTCATTTCGTCTAGGTGTTTCGGTTTGTTTTCCAACATTATGTACAGTAGGCGTTCTATTTCTCCTGTCCTTGTTGTATAAGTCATTAAGATGTGTCACATGTCTTTGATAGTGGTGAACTGATGATAATGTATAAATTACTGGAAAGGCTGGTAATAAAGAGTTTTGAAAACAAAATGATGAAATAGCTTTAGTGTGGATCATTTCACAAGCCCTGTTTTATTGCATATAACAGTTTTAGGTGTGATTTGTTGACATTCCATATTTCATTTAGAAACAGTGGCAAATTGATGGTTTTTATTGATGAGCTATTCTTTTTCTCTTTGTGTGTTTCAGGGCAACAGGTTTTGGATTCTGCAATGCGCTGTGTAAATTAGCTGCAGTTCTTGGTAACCTTATCTTTGGCTCCTTAGTTGGCATCACAAAAGCCATCCCCATTCTTCTGGCATCCACAGTGCTGGTCTGTGGCGGACTTGTTGGACTTCGACTACCTGACACGAGATCCAACGTCCTCATGTGAAAAAGCACATTTCCAGGTGCCTAAGTGGGGAACTTAAGAGGTGCAAAAGGCTTAGATATTTTAGAATTTTCCATGGGTTTGTTTATTTTGCTTTTATGAACAATTCGCAGTCAGCGTTAAGAGGAATTGTTTTAGTCCCTTATTTCTACATGTATGCTTCTGAGACAGCAGTAAAGTAAACATGCTGAATAAATTTAGAATATGTTAGCTTGCTTAAACAAGGAATTGTAAGGTAGATGCGTCCTTGATGCAACTTGTTGGATTATTCAACTTTCAGTTAGCCCCTTCAGTATTTCATTGGTCTCACATGGATTAAACACTTGGCATAAGACCCAAAGACAGTCAGATCACCATTTCCACCTGTCTACATTGCATAACTATTATTTAGAATTGGTTTTATCAGCATTGTAACCCTAAACAAAGTACAGGAACTTAACATACTGAAAAACATTTATATTAGTTGTTACAGATTGGTGTAATCATTATTACTGGAGAAACTTGACCAATAATAAACTATTATTACATTATAATGAACTATTATTATAACAGTTCGTATGCTGTTAGTTATGAGCATACAACTATTCTATTGAGCTGCACCACTCAGTTCTTCAGGTTCCAATCACTAAATAATTGCAATATCATTAGAATGTCAAAATTGAAATACCTATAGGCCCTTTTAAGACTTAGTGTGAACCTACAATTGAATTTTACATGGTTTAAAAATACATCTGTATTAACAGTTTGACTGTTAATAAAAAGGAGATCCACCGTTAGATTTTTAACACTTGAACTAGCATGTATCCTTAAATTTTCTGAATTCCCTCCCTTTGGAATATATTGCTATCCCCAGAGCTGAGTGAAGGCTTTTGCCTTTTTAATGATAGGGACTAATAGATGAAACATCCTGTACTGGACCTATTGTTTTTGTAAAGTAATGTCACAAAATTTGTAAGACTGTACCTCCCAATATGTACAGTAAGGTTGTGTATTTTTAGTTGTTACTTTCTCTGTCTCTTTATATATTTTTAAAGCACATACTATACCATTGAATGTAATGCTGCTACTATACTGTACATGATGACTCCCCCATCACATTTACAGTGATCTCTTGCTATTGCTGTTCAGTGTATTGTAAAACACTATAGTTGTGAATATCTAAGCCTTTTGCACATTTTTTTCAGATTTATGAATAAAAGGCCATACAAAATATTAATAGTAATAATAAGTGTAGTAAACATTCATGGCTACTTTGTCTACTGCTTCAGTTTTAACAGTTAGCTTCCATTTTCTGCATATTGAAAAAGAGGTCAACAGAGATCTGAATCACACAAAAACATTGTGTTTTTATATGGTTCCTTTACAGTATTTCACCAAGCTCAATGTTAAGGGCTTCTTTCTCGTTGGATTTTGTTGTGAATAGACTAAATGCCTCCTCTGTGGCAGTACTAATCGTTCATGCTACTCCTCCAAACACATCCTTTAAAGCACTGAATGGCCTTTTTAAATGTTGTGCCTCTCCTTCAGTCGTTTGTCCAATAGTTCTGTTTTTTTTTGCTACCATTGTACGTGTTTTAACACATTAGGTTAAGTCAGTCAAAATGAACTAACAGAATTAATTTATAATAAATGCTGTAATTTCCATCCGTTTTAATTACTACATGTACTGTATAGTAAATAAGGAGAATTCTGATTTAAATTGTGGACAACACTGATTTCACATTGTTTCATAACATAAATAACAGCAATTTTAAGCCACTAAAAAGTGAAGTAGGTTGGAATACTTCCTGCATTCTAAGAGAATAGATTATTCAGTGTTGAGTGGCATCTCAGAAAACATTTCATGAAATAATGTTTTCGACGTGTTACATGCATGATTTTCCTCTCATTGCTGCCTGTAAGTATCTGACAGTATCTGACACTGGGAAGACAGTGAAAGAATCTCGTAGAGTGACTGACAAATTTTGAGCTCATGTTAATTTCTCTCAATATAACATGCTGTGTACTTGATCTAATGGCTTCAGTTACATAAAGACATGATCTTCATGACTACTAATCCAAGTCGAGTTTTTATGTCTCTGTTACTGAAATTTCTGTGTAACATACAGTAGGTACCTCCCTATACAATTCACCAGTAATGTCTTTGTCCTCCAATGTGTTTGTTGCTTCTACACTGTGTAACTGTGGCTAGTGCAATATCCATACCACTGTGTGAACCTTCAACCTCATGATGTCCATCAGTTTGCTTGTATAAACTCCCATTGCCAGGATTCTTAAAAGTACAAGTACGTGAATAAATAATGTGCATTTTTGGAAGTTTTTTTTATTTATTTCTGTTTTACTGTAGTTTAGTGATGTAAAAATCTACACCAACCATTTGAAGATCAAAGGAAAACAAACACCAATTAGAACGGATTCTACTGAAAAAAAAACATTGCAATTAGGACGGAGTTAAACCAAAGGTATACTGCAGCCACCACCTCTGTGGGTTACTGAAGTCTTTAAAGTTTATAAAGTCTATATTAAATGAGGTGTGTTTAATCTTTGAATCACAATGGTTAGAGTAGTGCTAAATTTTGGTTTGTTATAAGACCTATGTCTTTACCAAGTGTATTGCAGTATATTTTGCATTTTAGTATTTTTTTTGAAAGAATATTGTTTGCTTTTTTTATGGACAGAATGTATATATCAATAGATGTTATCACATTGCTATTATGTTATTTACAGTCTGGAATTTGTGTATTTATTTGCTTCATTTACTGAATTATCTCACTTCTTTTCTTATTAACTTGTGACTGCTTTGTGGGACATCAGTCTCGGCAATGGCCCTGTACATTTTCACACTGCTGTGTATCCTAGAAGTGCAAGACACTCTCGGCTATTATGTGTGTTTGCATGTGTGTAGCGACTTCTTCCACTTTGCCTTTGATTTTGTATTCTTTAGAAATACACGGATTTCACAACATGTGGATGTATCATTCTCGTAAGCTCCTTGGTGTCAGGTTTGTGGGCTTTACTTTAACTTATGTACTGTATTTATTTTGATCCATTTTGTTGGAATTAAAAAAATATAGAAAACAGAAAAAAAGCTGTGTCTATCGTTGTGAAAGGGCATGCCAATCGTGGGATGACTGTATGTATGGTACAGATCTATAAAATACGTGAAGGTGTGTATAAAAGTATTTGCCAAATACCTGTACTTCAACTAACGTCTAAAGAAAGCAGAAGGTGCAATGTACTGTAAATCACATAGAGGTGGATGCATTTGTGCATCCTCAAGTATTAAAATAAAGAGTTATGTTCTATATAATAAATATGGTGTGTCTACTGTTTGACTTATACAATTAAGCTGTTTGATGAGGCATACATTAATGTTCTTATGCCACAAATCGTCCAACACATCTTTGTAATTGTTTTATGGATAACTTACCAAGGCTCATCATTGCCTGTTAGAAAAACAAATCTTCCTTTTGCTGGTTTCCTGCACTACAAGCACGACAATACTAAGCAGATTCTAATCACAGTCACACAATAACAGAATAAAATACTAATGTTTCTGTGAAGTACATGATAAAATAAAATCACTACTTTGTGTGTTGTTCTGTATTGTGGGTGTGTGGGGGAGGTATGGTGAGGAAACTACAGTCTGTATTTTGGGGATTCCTTAGAAGAAAGATAATTTAACTGATAGTTTTAAAGTACACTGACTACTTTACTGACCGTTTCTTGCTTTGCGTTGAGCGTATAGTGACAAATTATTGTAATTCATAAAATGGGAAGCATCCTGTAGCAGTAAAACCCATTTTTGTCCAATGTTTACCATGTTAAAGTAAAAACAACAATAACAAAACGGGGGGAAATATTTGATTCAGACTTGACATTCGACCCACATGTGCAACATATTGTCAAAACACCATGCTTTCACCTCAGAAATATTACCAAACTACATCCAATGTTTATGCTAACTGGTGCTGAAAAGCTGATTAACACATTTGTCTTCTCCCGAATGCTCTACTCACTGGGGTTTCTAAATCCGCATTGAACAAACTCTATTATGTCCACAATTCAGCAGCCGGCATCCTGACCAGGTCCAGTGAAAGTGATTATATTATTCCTATCCCTCCTATCCTGGAGTCTTTGCACTGGATTCCTGTCAGGTTTCGTGTCAACTTCAATATCCCCATGCTCACCTACTGTATAAGGCTCTGCATGGCTTGGCACCTCAGTACCTGCTTGAGCTACTGTTGTCCTACTCCCCACCTCACAACCTTTGTTCTTATAATTCTGGTCTCCCATCTGTCCCCCAAGTCTCCTACACTCTATGGGTAACAGGGCCTTCTCCTGTTTGCCCCAAAGCTCTGGAACTCTCTCCCTAAGGATATCACAGAGTCACCTTCCCTAAACTCTTTCAAATCTAAACCTAAAACCTTCTTCTTTAGAAGGGCCTTTATGCAGCAGGTTCTGTTATTTACGCCTCTGCTCCTTCTATATTCAGTACCCCTATCGTCTGTCTCCACTCACTGTGTATTTTCACTGTGTATATCTTCTGTATTTTTTGTTGTTGTAATTCTGTAAAGCACTTTGAGAAACCACCCTTAAAAGTGTTATATAAAATAAAGTTTATTATTAACCATTGATTTATTATACACTTAATCTTAAGATGCACATCCACACAAAAGCTTTTAGCCTTAGGAAGACTTTGATTGGAGTTTTTAAGGTATATTGTGTACATTCACATACAATTTAATATTTTAACATTTTGGAATCTCAAGGAATGTTGACATGTTAATAGTGAACTTATTTAGTCTAAAGGTGGGTGATTTTTAGGTGGACAGAGGGATAATTTCTACTTTGCAAAGGCTGCAAGGAATACAACTCTTTATTAGTCAGTGTTTATGGGAAACAACAAATTTATTATGAGAAACAAATATCTTACGATTGCACATGTTCTCGCTCGAATATTATAGACTGACACTGAAATTGTTCATGTCACTTCAGAGTCACTTCACAGAGTTTGGTCTCTACTGCCTACAGTTGTAGGTAAACTGTTCTGTTCACTTTTTCCTTTAAGAAATTTAAGACAGGCAGTTCTTTTAACATTTTGTATCCCAATATCCCCACCTAGTGGTGCATTTAGTTACATAGTACAGTTAGCAGATGAATTACCTCAGCAGCATCTGTAGGTGAGTCACTTTTTTCTTCTTGATGTTCTTGATTGGAGCACACAGAGGTTAGTGTAAGGGAAACTCAAAATACTATCCTCCTCCACATTTTTACATTCATAAAAACCACGGAGCAGACCCCAAACACTTTTATCCCGAGTAACACACTCCATGAGTAAATTTGACAAGAAGTTCCACACACCCACTGTATATTATTTTCTTGCTTCCATAATAGGTAGAACTTTGGAATGAACTAGTGTAAGGTTAAGTTTGATTAGTAGTTCTTCACACCCGAAGAAGGCTCCACAGCCAAAGCTTTATGTTTCTTTTCTTTTCCTTTCAGCATGGAATAAACCTTCACCTGTTCTTAGTGTATGATTATCATTATTAAAGAAAAAAGATTAAGACTGTAACCAATAAAATATTTAACGGTAAACTTTGTAGCGAACAAGTGAAATACAGAAAATTAGTTAATTTCTTAAACCAGAAACGCAATGAAACCAGAAATTCAAGCTTGAAAGTTCAAACTGAATACTTTCAAAAATAATTAAAAAAAAGAAAATACTGATTGTACAAGTATTCACCACTTAGCTATGGCAAATGTGAATTTGAGCACAAAATTAATATGAGAAACCTATGGTATAAATGAGTCTCAAAGATATAAATGAATATCCCTTTGAGCAGTGATGTTTTTAGAGACATTTTACTTTTTTGGCCCATTAAAGTGTTCAGTTTGAGCATACAGATTTCAAATAAAAATATTCACTTGAAAATATATAGACATCATATGTACAGTAATTCAACAAAATGGGACATCATTAGAAAAGGCTGATTAACTTTATAAGGCACCGGACCTGTAATAAAGCTTATTTTAAAGAATGCACAGGAGGTTTGAAAAATAAATGGTACCTTTATCCTTTAATGCTAGTTGATCAAAATGATTGATGAAGTCCCTCCAAATTCAAGAATAAAATTACATTAAATCTTTCCACTCAAACATGCTGATTGAAAGTGTAATATAAAATCATTTTACATCTTTAGAATTCACCTTGATAAGCTATTGCAAGGACAGGAAAGAATAAAAGATTTTTTTTAATTGTAGGTGGATGTTTAAGCATGACTGCAGTGTTCTGAGATCTTGGCTCTGCCTGAAAATAAAAAGAATAACAATATTTTTTATATACAAATTTCATGGAGGATAAAAAAGCTTCAGAAATACCTATAGTAAATGTTTTTGCTTGCTTGTTTTATAGAGATATTTTAAGATAGCTAAAATTAGATTTATCAGTACAATAGTGAAGCAAAGTTATTTATATTTCTAAAGGCAAATCAGACAAAATAGCAAGAAAATAAAACAATTCTAACTATGCCAACCACACATTTTTCATATTAACAGGAAGCAGAGCTGTGATATTTCGTCCTTTTTTTACTGGAATAGGAAAACTACAGTACAGTCCATTAAAAAGCATGTAAATTATACCCAACAATACAACCATCATTCAAAATAATGAAGGTAAATCCATTTATCCCTAATCTATTAAAAACCTCATAATGGAAAAGTGAGTTATTTTCAACATAAATGTCTGAATGAATGACATCACTCCTGCTCATATTTCTTGGCATAGTTGGTAAGGTCCTTGTGCTATTTCAAAGTTTAGAGCTCATTTAAAAAAAAAAAAAACATGGTTCTGTTTCAGGAGAAATACAGTATTCTTTCTCTGTTGAGATAGAGGGCAGATTCCAACTCCAAGCTACACCTTCTACTGATACAGCAAGTTATTTACTGTACACAGCAGAACAGCAGATCAGTGGATGATGATGTCTCTCCAGCTCTACATACAGCCTTGGAACATTGTTTACATTCTAGCTGTTTACTTGTACATTGTCTACTGTTTGTTTGTATATTGTCTTGATGCACTGTCTGCACTTCATGCAATCTAGAATAATTTTAGAAGATAAAGCTAACTGATAAAGTGCAGTTACATGTATGAAGGAAAGTGGTGCATTTCAATATAAGGATGTATACAAAGGTCTTTAAGACAAGAGCTCCTGTGGTGCATGCATTGATACACAGCTAAACAAATATCCAGTAATAAGGCTGCAGTACATGCTTCTTTTACACATAGTTTCCAGATCCATTTAATCATGTCCTACTGTTACATGAACACACTGAATCTGGTTTCATGATCTGTGTCAAGCTCCAAGAGACAAGAATGAACTATCTGCTGATCTTTTGTTATTAAATGCGTATCACCTGATAGACAAGACAAGTGCTTCTTTAAGGGATGGGAGATATGGATGCCAGCCTCTCCCATTCACAACAGCACAGATGCTCAAGGGTGTGGTGATAGTATGTAGCCTGGCGCTATTGTGCTTTCAGATAACACCCTGATGCAGCGACCCAGGCTGTTTTTGATGAATGGCCTCTTTTTCACAAGATCACCTTGAACAGGACATCAACAAGAAACACATGCTGATGGATCCAAACACAGTTAGCAGGACTGTTCCCACTGATGGAGTTGTTTTAAATATCTTGGAAGCGGGGAATGACAGACGTTTTGATGTCTTGGATACTGAGTTAGGCCCTGGTGTCACATGGCCCTCACAAATAATAAAAGAGATATTATGTAAGAAACTGATTTCACCAAGACTATTAAAAGTCTAGAATCATACGCTCACTGTGTCCTCCAAAACTATTGCGACAACAAAGTCTATATTTATTTTGCTTTGCAGCCAAGCAATTTCTATTTTTGATTGTGAGGTAAATGTAAATAATAGATACAGTATAATATGTTAGATTCTTGGACTATTCAATACAAACTGTGTCTTTGTAAAATAACAAAACAATGCATACATATTTAAAAACTTAATATTTTATTTAAACCGGAAAAGCTTAAACTGGAGATTCTAAGGGTGAGATACATTATAGCCAATGTCAACGAAACCCACAAATTCAGTAATTGGTGGAAACGCATTTGGTGGCAATTAGTGCGCATGCAATCCAAAGTTTATTGCCCAAATTAAAGTGACATCCTGATTTAGAGCTATGTGTCATTTTGGTTTTGTTAAAAAATTGAGAACTTAATTAAACAATTACACATCAACATTAATTTCTTTAAAAGTAGTCACCTATAAATCACCTTGGAGCCTAGTTAGAAGTCTTTCAATTATACTTGGAATTCCAGAACTAGTGTACAGTATATAACACAGATTTTTTGTTTTCATGCAACAAAATCAGAAGCCTAGAAAGCTGCTTAAGACCTTTAAAACAACATGGAAACATTCATCTTTGTACTTCAGGGCAAATTCTAATCTGGCTTTTCTAATGATCAAACATGTACAGCGGTTTATTCCAGTCTCTGTAACCGAGTACCTTGGTTTTAATTTGTAACTTTATGAAATATTAGTTTCTTTTTACTTTCATCAAAATGAGGATTAAAGGCAAGTATAGTTTATGCTCCATCCACCTAAAACCTTTCACAGCCCCTCAACCATTACTCAGCATACACTATTTGCATGCATTTTCTTTCATTAAGATTGTCATGCTTTTTCAAAACAAAAACATGTGTCAACGCATGCGTCTCTCGAAACACCCGTTTCTTAAAACACAGAACAAGCCTGCTTCCCTCTCCTTTTTGCTAACCGCATGATGTATAATATTTAACCATGTGCTGTCACGTGGAGTAGTGGTTCCCGCCTTTGTGTGCCAGGCCCTCGGCAAATAAAATATTTACAAAAGTATTTTTAAATATGCCACCAGGGGGTGCTAGGGGGTACTCTCTTTTGTGGTAACAGAGCAAAACGTGCACTAGCTAACGGGGCAGGGAGAGGAAACGATTGGTATGCTCAGCTCTGTGACAAGAGCGAAGCAAAGGTGCTTACAGAAGGGAAGAAGGGGCTTGTGAATGAGAGAGAAGGAGGTACAGAGGGCTTGGGAGTGTGAAGCTGTAAGCGTACAAACTTTCAACATAAAGTTTAATCCCAAGATAGTGCGGGGTAAGAAAAAGACAGGCTGTTTAACCTGCCATCAGTTACATCTACAGAAAGCAATTATTTCTTTCATCAACTTTTAAGAACGTTACACTGGAATAACTGAAACAGGATGTACTATGAAGAAAACACGAACTTACTCAGACCACGTTATGGATGTAAGTACTTTATTCTTTTTCACGTTAGGTTCTGCGTTACTGAACAATCCATACGAGCGGCATGAGAGAGATTTGCATGCATATTTTAAAGCGACAACATCGTTTCATGTTAGGAACTGGAGCGCAGGTAGTTTTGTAGGTGTGGTGTCGTTTCGCAAAGCTTTCCTAAGTTTCTACAGGCCATTGGGGACAGCGCACACGTTATTCTTTTGCTTCTTTCTCTAGTGTACAGTTATTGAAGCAAGTTATTTGTAATTTTGGAAGAACTTTGAGAAGCAGGAAGGTGACAAGGTGAAGTGTTGGTAGAAGGTACAATACAGTTGTAAACATCGTTCTGTAGTGCTTAATAATTACTTTTAATTGGCTGCCTTTCCTGGCGTAATTGAAGAATTATTTTACGTGAGGGGTTGCTAACATTGTAACTTATTCGGAACACCGCAGGTGCACATCCTGTTTAACACAAATTTGTAATGTGATTTAATTCAAACAACCTGATCTTCACGTTTTCTTTTGAGTGTTGCTACTGTTTGGAGGGAATTTGCATGAAATGTTTGCACCATGCTTTTGAATCGTGTTGTGATCTCACGTATTGCTTAATATCACTTAGCTATCCTCTAAAAATGCCAATTCCGACTGAGGGTTAAGGCAGCAGACGTTTCAGTAATAAAAAAGTTTAGTTTTCTGCAGAAAGGCCGTGAGTGACAGGGTTACAAGAGGCCAGAGTTTGGGTTAAATTAAGTACCCCGGGGACGAAGCCTCCATTCAACGCTCACAATTGAATGGACATATTAATTGGTCGTCACTGTGAACAATTATTCTTTAAAACTGGAGTCGTTTTGAGTTGGCATTAAGCGTTACTGGCGTAAATCAGTAGACGCCTTCCAAGGTTAAAACAGGCCAGGCCTTTCATCTGGTAAGCATTAGGACTTTCAGTTACTTGATCAGGTACTGTAAGAAGCCAGAGCGAAACCTAAACTTGCATGCAGCAATCTGGGAACTCGTAAGAAGTGATGGATTTTGAAAGAGCCACGCAGTTTTATCAGCTACTTGTGGATCCCATATTACAGTGTCTGAAAGCATAGAATAGGACAGAGGAGAGCCAGACTGTAGTAAGATTCAGCAGTACAGGTGTCAGGATCATGTGCATGCGTACAAGCAGGTGTATGGATGACATTGTCTTCACATCATTGGTGTACAGAGGAAGCACAGCTAGAGACAAACCCCTTTGCGCCATGCAGCAGAGAGCATTTGTTACCTTGCCCTCCTGCCTTTTGGACTTTTTCAAACAAGTCCGCTGTGTGAGCTCTGAGAGAGTGTTTGTGCAAGGACGGGTTGTTCTCCAGCTGTTAAAGCTCTGTTATGCAATGTTTTAAAAGTGCAGTAGGCTTTGAGCTCTGTGTAGGCCTACTTTTGTGCTTCTCCATTTTCCCAGTGTTGTGTGATTTTAGCGTGGTTTGAGGTGGTGCCACCAAACATGAGAAATGATTCATTGCTCCTGCAACTTGAAATATTAAGCCAGGTGGATTTACAAGGTTTTTACCACTAAATTACAGTATCCATTTTCGGTCATTCTTTTCCCACTCTGACAAGAATTGTCAGGTGCTTTCACCTTTCGTACCTGATTCACACTCACCTTGGAGCAATCTTTTATGGCATCTACTGTAAGCACTCAGGCAGCTACAGTTTTTTATCCAGTGAACAGCCTATGTTCTGTCTATGAGATTGTGCTTTGTTGTGGGATAATTTACACAGATTTGAAATGAATGGTGTTGAGGATTGTTGTTGTGCTAGGATTTTCAGACATTTTAAGCATAGTTAAATACTACATAGAGAAGAGAAGTCTTAGTGACCTTTGTTCACATGTACAGTATATGTGCAACATTAAAACTATTTTTTAAGATTACTAAAGTGATGTCAGTGATAGCAATGCCGATAATTTAAGTTACTTTTTTTTTTTTTATCTTCTGGTAAAACACGTATCAGAAAAAATTTTAGTATCAGAAAAAAAAACTATGACTTGTTGAACTATACTATTTAAGGTTAAATCGGGATTTCAGATGTTCTAAGAGGAACTCTAGGGAAAAGTTACAATGTAAGAATTATTAGTTTATTTGTTTTTCTTTAGTTCTAAAAAATACACTGTTACTGTTCTTTCCATTGAACAACGTAGCTGCACATTTTCATGTGAACTGTTTTTTCTTCTGTGCTGTTTGTTTAATAAGAAAATATTTTTGTAAACATTAGAAATGTTTTCGGTTATTAGAAGTTTTGTTACAGTGCTTCAAGGGTTGTAATGGTACTTTAAGTTAAGGCTGAACATTTCTTTGTTCCAGAAGGCCAGGCAGCAATGCAGTGAACCTGGGGCAAATTTGTCATGGTTCTTTTTATAGGACCTTTATATATTCCAGATTTCTATAGGTAGTGACATAACCTGAATCTGAAAGCATCTTCTTTTTATCAAACTCAGTGAAATGCATTGTAGTTGATATAGTTGCTAAAAGATGGGGTGTGCTGGGAGATTTTTTCCTTTCAAGCACTGACTCAATTTGCTATTCTTTCTCAGTACTATAATGGTGCAAAGTCCTTGTTTTGCTTGTGGTTCTTCTGTAAGCGTTCTCAGCTGCATAAACAAACTGTCCCCTCCCCCGTCTAGAAATTTAAGCTAGTTGCATGTTTATTTGCCTTGCATCCACAATATTAAACCAAGCGGGATTTTAAGTTTTACCTTTAATATTGTGTTATATTATTTCACTTTTAAGAACTGTATAAAACTAAAACATGAGCAGGACATGTAAAATAGCCAGGAACTTAAATGTTTCTTTTCTTTTCCATTTTGTTTTGAGTGAGTTCCAATGCTGGCTAATACTGGTATTTATACCTTTTTTTTGTACTATATTAGCATTCGCATGTCATTGTTTTCTATATTAGCCTTGCACAGACAGTGGAAAATACAGTAAGACCGTTGCAAGGTATGATGTCATCTATTTGTATAAATAAATGCAGAGTCTCTCAAGATACGGCATCGGTGTTGCACCATGAAAAGGAAATGCTTCATTTAGTCACGTCTCCTCTGTACCTCGTGTGTGACCCAATTAGACAAAATAATGAAAAATTATAATTAATTAAAAAAAACATTCTGCAAACATTACACCTACTGTATGTGCAAAAACTTTGCAATCATTACATATCATGTTATGTAGATTACTAAGTGAGGGAGAGTTGATGGGCCTCAAGTAATGAGGTGATTTAACTACTATCCATCCGTCCATTATCTATCTTTTTCCAATAAAGCATCATGGTCAA